TCCCCGTGTCCCCTCCAGTCCCTGTCGCCCCCCCCTCAGTGTCCCTGTCCCCAGTGGGGTTCCCCCCAAGTCCTGTCACCCCACCTCAGTGTCCCTGTCCCCACTGGGGTCCCCCATGTCCCCTCCAGTCCCTGTCACCTCCCTCAGGGTCCTTGTCCCCATTGGGGTCCCCCTCCAGTCCTTGTGACACCCCCTCCTGTCCCTGTCCCCACTGGGGTCCCCGTGTCCCCTCCAGAGCCCCCTCCAGTCCCTGTCACCCCCTCAGTGTCCTTGTCCCCACTGTCACCCCCCTCAGTGTCCCTGTCCCCACTGGGGTCCTCGTGTCCCCTCCAGTCCCTGTCACCCCCCTCAGTGTCCCTGTCCCCACTGGGGTCCTCGTGTCCCCTCCAGTCCCTGTCACCCCCCTCAGTGTCCCTGTCCCCACTGGGGTCCTCGTGTCCCCTCCAGTCCCTGTCACCCCCCTCAGTGTCCCTGTCCCCACTGGGGTCCTCGTGTCCCCTCCAGTCCCTGTCACCCCCCTCAGTGTCCCTGTCCCCACTGGGGTCCTCGTGTCCCCTCCAGTCCCTGTCACCCCCCTCAGTGTCCCTGTCCCCACTGGGGTCCTCGTGTCCCCTCCAGTCCCTGTCACCCCCCTCAGTGTCCCTGTCCCCACTGGGGTCCTCGTGTCCCCTCCAGTCCCTGTCACCCCCCTCAGTGTCCCTGTCCCCACTGGGGTCCTCGTGTCCCCTCCAGTCCCTGTCACCCCCCTCAGTGTCCCTGTCCCCACTGGGGTCCTCGTGTCCCCTCCAGTCCCTGTCACCCCCCTCAGTGTCCCTGTCCCCACTGGGGTCCTCGTGTCCCCTCCAGTCCCTGTCACCCCCCTCAGTGTCCCTGTCCCTGTTGGAGTCCATCTTGACCCCCATCCCCGTCCCCTGTCTCCATCGGGGTCCCTCTTCTCCCCCCTTCCCCCCACCTCTGTCCCCATCCAGCTCCTCCCCAATCCTTGTCACCCCCCTGGTGTCCCCGTGTCCCCCGTACCCGACTCCTCGGTGGCCTTCCCCGCCGGCCGGCTCTTGCCGCGGTGGCCCTTGGTGGCCGCCTTCTCCTTCCGTCCCCCCGCCCCCGGCTCCTCCTCACCTTCGCTGGAGCTGCTCTTGGCCTTCACCCCTGGAGAAGGGGACAACCAGGTGGGGGATGTGTGGCCGTGTCCCCCCCCAAACCTTCCCGTGTCCCCTCCGCCTGCAGAGATGTCACCTACCGTGGCTGTGGCCGTGACCGTGGCCGTGGCCACCCTTGGCGTGTCGCACGAAGGTCTCCACCACCAGGAAGGCCACGATGCCGGCCAGCACCCACATCCCCACCGTCAGCATCAGGTCCCCGTGTCCCCTCCCGAGCCCCCTCCAGTCCCTGTCACCCCCTCAGTGTCCTTGTCCCCACTGTCACCCCCCTCAGTGTCCCTGTCCCCACTGGGGTCCCCCTCCAGTCCCTGTCACCCCCCTGCTTGTCCCTGTCCCCATTGGGGTCCCCGTGTCCCCTCCAGTCCCTGTCACCCCCCCCTCAGTGTCCCTGTCCCCAGTGGGGTTCCCCCCAAGTCCTGTCACCCCCCCTCAGTGTCCCTGTCCCCACTGGGGTCCCCATGTCCCCTCCAGTCCCTGTCACCCCCCTCAGTGTCCCTGTCCCTGTTGGAGTCCATCTTGACCCCCATCCCCGTCCCCTGTCTCCATCGGGGTCCCTCTTCTCCCCCCTTCCCCCCACCTCTGTCCCCATCCAGCTCCTCCCCAATCCTTGTCACCCCCCTGGTGTCCCCGTGTCCCCCGTACCCGACTCCTCGGTGGCCTTCCCCGCCGGCCGGCTCTTGCCGCGGTGGCCCTTGGTGGCCGCCTTCTCCTTCCGTCCCCCCGCCCCCGGCTCCTCCTCACCTTCGCTGGAGCTGCTCTTGGCCTTCACCCCTGGAGAAGGGGACAACCAGGTGGGGGATGTGTGGCCGTGTCCCCCCCCAAACCTTCCCGTGTCCCCTCCGCCTGCAGAGATGTCACCTACCGTGGCTGTGGCCGTGACCGTGGCCGTGGCCACCCTTGGCGTGTCGCACGAAGGTCTCCACCACCAGGAAGGCCACGATGCCGGCCAGCACCCACATCCCCACCGTCAGCATGCGCCCGTGCTCGTGGCCTGGGATGGAGGGGACACCGTGAGGGGTGGCCCTGTCCCCTCCGTGTCCCCATGGTCACCCCACACCCCTCCCCCCAGTTCCGTGTGTCCTACCGTGGTGCGAGTGGCCGTGGCCACCCGGCTCGGAGTGTGCGTGGCCACCATCACCGTGATGCGTGTGGGGAGCTGCAGGGACACCAAAATGGAGGAGGAACGGTGAGTGCCACCACGTCCCCGCTGTCCCCAAGGCTGGGGGGGGTGGGGACACCAAGGGGAAGGGGACACTCACCCAGGGCGTGGGGGATGAGGTGGAGGAAGGCGTCCCCCAGCAGCCCCCCCGCCGCGAAGCTGAGGAGCAGCTTGAGGAGCCCCTGGTGCCGGGGGGCGTTGGACTCCACCGGGATGAGGAAGAGGACGAGGTACGGGGCGGCGCTGATCACCAGGGTGGCCGTCATCGTCTGGGGCACGGCGAGGGGGGAGTCCCGGGTTGGCCCCCCCCCCCCCCCCAACATCTCCAGGGGGTCCTTCAGGGGGAAGGAGGACACTCACGTGCATCCACAGCGTCACCGTGTCCTTCCGCGGCGGCGGCGGTTTGGGGGGATCTGGGGGCAAACGCTTGTGCGAGGGGTGGTGGGTGTCCTCATGCGAGTGGCCGTGGTACATGTCCTCGTGCGAGTGGCCGTGGTGCCCATGCGGGTAGCTGTGGCCATGGTGGAGGTCTTCGTGCGAGTGGCCATGATGCCCGTGGTACATGCCCTCGTGCGAGTGGCCGTGACCATGGTGGAGGTCCTCGTGCGAGTGGCCATGGCCGTGGTACATGCCCTCGTGCGAGTGGCCGTGGTGCAGGTCCTCGTGCGAGTGGCCATGGCCGTGGTACATGCCCTCGTGAGAATGGCCGTGGTGCAGGTCCTCATGTGAGTGGCCATGGCCATGGTACATGCCCTCATGAGAGTGGCCATGGCCATGGTGCAGGTCCTCGTGCGAGTGGCCGTCGTGCGAGGCGGCGGGGGGCGGCAGCAGGCAGAGGGCCAGCACCACGATGGCAGCGGCAAGGGTGGCGCCGAGTCCCTGCGTCCGAGTGGCCGCCGCCATCGCCCTGGTGAGGGGAGACGGGTCAACCAACGGCTCCTACCATAGAGACGAAGGGATGAGCGTCCAGACAAGCCCCAACGTCTCCCAGGGGTGACCATAGAGACAGAGCCCAGAGTGGCGCCCTTGGTTGCACCATAGAGTGGTGACATGGGGGACCTAGAGAGGCCCTAATGGGTCATACCATAGAGGTGAAGAGGAGATAGAGCGGTGGCAACCAACCCTACCATAGAGATGATGGGATGAGTATCCAGACAAGCCCTGACGGCTCCCAAGGGACTGACTATAGAGTGGTGGGATGGGGGCCTAGAGTGGCTCTAACAGGCCATACCATAGAGGTGAGGAGGAGACAGAATGGTGCCAACCAATCCTACCATAGAGATGAAGGGATGAGCGTCCAGACAAGCCCTGACGGCTCCCAAGGGACTGACTATAGAGTGGTGGGATGGGGGCCTAGAGTGGCTCTAACAGGCCATACCATAGAGGTGAGGAGGAGACAGAATGGTGCCAACCAATCCTACCATAGAGATGAAGGGATGAGCGTCCAGACAAGCCCTGACGGCTCCCAAGGGACTGACTATAGAGTGGTGGGATGGGGGCCTAGAGTGGCTCTAACAGGCCATACCATAGAGGTGAGGAGGAGACAGAATGGTGCCAACCAATCCTACCATAGAGATGAAGGGATGAGCGTCCAGACAAGCCCTGACGGCTCCCAAGGGACTGACTATAGAGTGGTGGGATGGGGGCCTAGAGTGGCTCTAACAGGCCATACCATAGAGGTGAGGAGGAGACAGAATGGTGCCAACCAATCCTACCATAGAGATGAAGGGATGAGCGTCCAGACAAGCCCTGATGGCTCCCAAGGGACTGACCATAGAGACAGAGCCCAGAGTGGTGGGATGGGGGGCTAGAGTGACCCTGATGGACCATACCATAGAAGTGAGGAGGAGATGGAGTGGTGCCAACCAACACTACCATAGAGACGAAGGGATGAGCGTCCAGACAAGCCCTGACGGCTCCCAAGGGACTGACCATAGAGTGGTGGGATGGGGGGGCTAGAGTGGCCCTGATGGACCATACCATAGAGGTGAGGAGGAGATAGACTGGCGCCAACCAACCCTACCATAGAGATGAAGGGATGAGCATCCAGACAAGCCCTGACGGCTCCCAAGGGACTGACCATAGAGTGGTGGGATGGGGGGCTAGAGAGGCCCTGATGGACCATACCATAGAGATGAGGAGGAGATAGAGTGGTGCCAACCAACCCTACCATAGAGACGATGGGATTAGTGTCCAAACAAGCCCCAATGTCTCCCAAGGGTGACCACAGAGATGGAGCCCAGACTGGCGGGGATGGGGGGCTAGAGCGGCCCCCCATAGAGGTGAAGGGGAGACGGCGAGTCCCCACCACAGAGACGAAGGGATGAGGGTGCAGAGCGGCCCCCCAGGGGCACCATAGAGTTGGGGAAGAGGCGGCAGGAGCAGCCCCCCCCCCAGAAAG